GTAATTCATTTTTTCAAGAGACAGATTTACACAGTGTAGAACCTAAGGGAAAATTTTCTTATTCAGAAATCCTATAAATTAGGGTTTTCAGCCCTTGCATGTCATTCCCCCACCAGCACACTAACTGTTCAGTGGCTCAAATTCTCTCATAGACTCTCTTCAAAGTCATAATTCACCATTCACATTCCTCAAATTTTGACTAAATCCATTACTTCAATAGTCCCAAGAAAAATGTATAACTTAACATGTTGCCTGTCAAGTGCATCATTGGTGATACACTTTGATGTAAAAATTTTGTTTCGCATCCACCATATAAAGGATGCTGTTTGGAAGACTCACCTCTGTGATACAGTTGCATTATTATTCACCTCTGCTGGAGGAAAGAGATCCCTCTACCCTTTCAATGGAATGGAATCTGTGAGAAGTAAAAGGAAACCTATTAAACAGGCAAAATTCATTCCTACTTCTTTGCCATTTCCAAGTTAATATCTTCTTAAGCCATAAAAACCTGAAAGGAACAAATTGTGGATTCTGACAATGCCAATCCTCTCTGTTAGGAAAGGAAACAAAACCCATGTGGAACAAGAAGGATGAAATGGGAACAAATGAGTAAGAACCTGTAATGATCAGAATGGAAATACTGGTGATGTGTGGACCTGTCATTGAGGAAAAAAAAACTGATGACAACATGATGGGTGACCACAAATGTAGAAGTGCTGGCAAGGGAAAAAAATCCTGCATGGAAATTGGAATGGGAATTCATGGAATGAAAGAGGGGTGATAGCTTCTTCTTCATAAACCTGTAACAGTTGCCATTAGCTCTTCATTTCTAATCCTTGATTACCCTCAGATAAATCTCCTCTCAGGACAGAAAATCCTGGAATGAAGAACTTGGGAATTTCAGTAATGCCTGTCCTCTAATACAAAAAAACAACCTAGGATTAAAAAGGATGAAATGGGACCATATACATTTCTCAAGTAGAAGAACCTGTTTGTGCCAAAAGAAAAGTATAAGTGATGCATGGACCTGTCCATCATAAAAAAAAACTGCATGTGGATGACACAGGATGTTGGGCAACCACCAATCCACAAATGCTGTCAAGGGAGAGAATAGTTCTGAATAGGATTTGAAAAAAAGTGGGGTGATAGGTTCTTTTGCATAACCTGCAACAGAAGCCTTCATCTGTATATTGGCATCTCTTGATAAATCTTACTTAAATATCTTCCCAGGGCAGAAAAACCTGGATGGACAAAAATGATATTTTGGTGATGAGTGTCCTCAGTTTGAAAAGAAAACAAAACCTACATGTAAAAGGATGGCAAAACGTAGTATATAACATGAAATTATGGAAAGGGGAATTTCAAAAATGTGTTCTGTCAACAAGAAAACATACCTGCAAAGTGGAAAACTTTGGAAAGTAAGGTGGGTGATGACAAATGTCTGGTTTTCTCAAGGGGGAAAAATTCTGTGTGGGATCTTGAGAAATTAAGAGGTAGGTGATAGATGATTGGTGACCACAAATGCAGAAGACCTGCAAGGCAAAAAAAATTCCTGTAAGGGTATTAAAAGAACCGTGATTACCTTCTTCTTCATAAACCTGCAATAGTTGCCTTTAACTCTTCATTCCTAACTCTTGATGACCTCCCATGGAATACCTAAGCAAGGCAGAAACACCTGAAACAACACTGGGGATTTCAGCAATGCTGGTCCTCTGTTGGAGACAAAACAAAGCCTATATGGAGCTAAATGTTTGAAGGATTGACACTTCCAGCGTAGATGTGAGGAGAATTACAATGATGTCTTGTCCTATAAGTGAGACAAAAACACCTGCAAGAGAGAAAAATCCAGTGTAGGATTTTAAAAATCAAGAGGGAGGGGGTAGCTTCTTGTTCAGGAACCTGCAATAGAAGCTTTAAGCTTTTCCAATTTAATTTACCCAGAGTTCTTATCTCCTACTCCATGATTGCATTTCCACTTGTCATGTAATTAAAATTTACTTGAAGTTTAAACATTTTTCTGATGTCCAACCTATCTCATGGCTTCTAAAAGCCATTCTAATGCTCCTTTACTAGCTATCCAGTGAGCTAAAACTTGAAAAGTTTTAGCTCACTGAATGCATTAATAGGCTAAATACCCATTAACCTTTTGTAGTCCAACCTCATCCCCAAGATGAAATTGGGTCAAAGTTGTCGCGTTATGATAATTTTGCTCAATGGAACAGTGCTATTCTTTGCATGTTCATAGGCATTATTTTTACTTCATCAGATGGTTAGAAATTACTCAACTGAAATAGAAATAATAAAACCTCATTTGAACCTATTTCAATAAAAAACAGTGTAAAAAATTGGACTTTTTGGCCTGCAAAACTTAAAAATAATAGGACTGCAAAGGGTTAATCTACATTGCCTTCTCATTCACTTCCTTAACAAGAAACTTTCTTTGGACATTTTCACCAATGTTGGACATGAATCAACCACCAGTGACTCATTGGCATGGTTAGCACAACTGTATTCATCTACTCATCCCCATTTACCCTTAACTCAGCCACAAAAAACTTAATGTTCTCAAGCTACATACTTTCTTTCAATGACAATCCATAATTTGTGAGCACTTTCCTATGTCCTCTGTACTTCTCTACCAAGCCAGTAACTACCTGTTCTTTCAAACCTAGCTGGAATGACTTCAGTATATGCAATCTACAAAATGCAAGTGATCAAACAGCTTCTCTTCCAACATTTCTCACTATGACTTCCACAAAACACTTCCCAAACTTTACTCATCAACTAAAAGACTACTCATGATCTTGCAGTTTCAATTCTCAAATAAAGGAACTCCTGCTTGATTATTTCAACCACTGGAAGCAATGACCTTGTGGATCTAGAGCTCAGGTTGCTCAGCCAGACAAATGCAAGAGTCTTCTTTGTCTGGGAAAAGAGCCATAAAATATCAACCCAACTGATGAAACTCTTGCTTCTAGAATCAGCATGAAATTTTAAAATGGTGTTGCCCTTAGTCCTCTTACTCTCTCTCTCTCTTTCTCAGTTGAGTATGATCCCCTATTCCCACCCCAGTCAAAATACCAGATGGCCTTCATCACACAGACCTGTAAATTTCTTATTGACAGGGCTTGTGCTAATTTTCTTGCCTTAAGGGTCCTCAGGACTTGAGAGTCTTATAAGAAAGGGTCACTCAGAAAAATTTGGGGGTCCCATCACAATTGAAGCATGATGAAATCTTGCAAAGTTGCACAAAAAGTTTCAAATCCCAGAGCCAATGTTTTTTCTTTGATTTAACATGACCAAAAGCATGATATTCAATCCAGCACCTTTAGACTACTTCCAACATTTTCTCTTTAACAAATATCCCTAAGGCATCTTCAAAATTTCAAATTGCAAACTTCTGCTTATTACAACTGCCAGATGCTGAGTGGGGATTTTTCTTATTTGCATTTGAGCAGAAATCACAGGAAGCTCTTCCATCTCTATAGGAAAGCCAGGAATACATTTTGACCTACGCCTTTTTCCATTTTTTAAATATTTTTTTCTTCGTTGTGATTTATGGTTCACATGCTGCCCATTTTCATAATCGCCCACGTCCATCTCTTTCCCTTCAGTTTGACTAGGTCAAAGCCTACGGCAATCTTCCCTTCTCTGTGCGCCCTAAGTGGAACGATGACATCACCTTCGTTTAAAATTTATACCTACGCTGTTGATACCTTTCTTTATGCGCCACTAGGCCCATGTTCAGGATCATCTGAACGCATGCCAACGTGTGATTCGAACAAACTAACATCGTACATTTTCCGCTTGTAACTGAACGAAAAGAGTGTTGGCCCAAACCGCCCTGAAGTCTAAATTGAAACGAAGGGAAATACGTCATGAACGCGTGAACACAATGCATCATGCGCCGCTCTCATCACTTTCACGTCGCGCACCTTCCTCGGCAAGGACTCCCCCCCCTTCCTGTCAGTAATAAGGTTGCGCACGGGTTTATTTAGGCACGGTTCTAAGAGGCAACTGCCAACTGGTCTGAAAACCAGTCAGAAAATCTAGAACTTTCCCGCGCGTCCCTGGGACCCCAATGTTTTTCTGTTGTGCGTCCCTTCAGAATTTTGTGCGTATAGGACGCGCATCTGCGCGTAAACGCAAGCCCTGAAGTTACTTTTTCATGCTTTCATCTTGGGTGACATTCGCTTTTGCATTTTATTTATTTATTATTATTATTATTATTATTTTTTTTTTTTTTGGGAGGGGAGGCCTCTTTTCCCCCTGAGTCATTTTTCTTAGACCTAGCAAAAGAGATAGAAAACGAATGAAGAAAAGCGTTCCCGGTCTCTTTCCCTCATCTTCAATTCCCCCCACACCAGGAATGAGAAAGCGACAGGCGTAAGACTCTTATCTCCCTCTATCTCCCCTGTTTCCGGGAATAAGGTAAGGGGCAAGGGTAATTGCTCCCGTCATTCAGACTTTCTCTCACTTTTTGCAGTCACCTCTCTCCTCTCCAATCTCAAATAGCTTTAGAGCCTGGACTTCTTCCTATTTCCTTTCCATCAGGAGCGAGTGTGAAACAAAGCGAAAAAAAATGCGCTGGTTAAAGAGAATGTGTCAGTGATTTCATTGTCATGAAAAAGAAAGAATAATCGATGACATTTTGCAGTACTCTGGGAGTGAAGTTCTCTACGCCAGAAAAAAATGTATGAGGTCATTCAAACGGTTTTAATACGGACGAGCTCTTTATCGAGACAAAACCGCTTAAGTCTGGATTAATAACAGTTGACAGGAGGAATTAGAACGGGCTCTATTTCTTCCCTCGACTTTATAGCAATTAAATTCGATATCATCGATGATTCATTTCAACCATTATGGATGTCAGTCAAGGGTCTGGCCAAAGTGGAAACCTTGGAAATAATTTACCTACATGGAAAGTAGGAGTGCATTGCCCCAGAGAAGAAATAAATCCTCTTGGTTACAACCAAGGCATAGCATTACTAACTTTCACTCGACTTACTCGATGAGTCGCTGCAGCTTCACATTGAGGGCAGAGAGGAGGACATCGACAGAAGCCCTCTTGCTGTGGAGGGATGCAAGAGTGGAAAGGACGGAGCAGCGGAGTCCCTGCTCCCAAACTGATGCCTCCTCCGACCTGCACAGGCCCTGGAACTTGTGCTCCAACCTGAAAGCATCAAACACATTTATACAATGATGGAACGCTTGTCTTATTGAAGGAGCCCTGTTAATTGTCTGATGTTTTAGAAGGATACATGTCACATTTAAGAAATGCATTATCTTAAAAAAAAAAAATTCCCAAAGTAGCAATTCAGATGGTTCCAACTGGACTGCTATGATACAGCTGGAAATAACTAGACCCAGTAAAATCCCAATCGGAGTATGAATATAGGCTGATGAGAAAATTGAGGAATCAAATAAATAGGGATAGCTAGAACGAGTTCCCAATATGACCTAGCTGGTTCCTATAGAATACTGCATTTCTAAGTAATATCTTCGATCTAAGTGTGCTCCGTTGCAGTTTTCGGATTTCTCTTGAAATTGTGAATTTGATAAATAAAAAAATTGAACCTTAAGCAATGCTCAAGTAGATTATACAGTAAACCTCGTTAATTCGATATCTGATAGTTCGAAGTATCGGATACTTCGAAGTCATATACGTTCCCCGTCTGAGAGGATAGATTTGTATGCTTCATAGTATGGATAATTCGAAATATGGATACTATGAAATTCGAAGGCATTTTCTGGTTCCACGAGCTATAAACTCAGAAACGTGTTCGTTTACGTCGACGGGCACTTTTCCCTACGACCTACAGATGACCTGTCTCAAACCTCGCACTTTAAATAGCTGCAAAGCTAGCAAATTGCCTTGGAAACTTCATTTTTCTATTCAGAAGAATTCTAAATATAGACTAATGCCCCCTTCACTAAATCTCCCCCTCTACACGTACCTATCTCATTTACACCTTGTACGACCTTCAGTCAAAAAACTTTGCATTGTGGCAGCACAGCCTCTCTCTCTCTCGGTGTTGTGAGTGAAACGGGGGTGAATATGCCATGGCGAGCAAGAGGAAGTACAACGAGTTAAGTATTTCACAGAGATTGGAAGTTATTTGTGAAGTGGACAAGAAAGAAAAATCGAAGACTAAAAATAAGAATAAAAGCAAAAGGTATTGCATGACACGATTCAAATTTTTTTTCCACCTGACGTGACATCACTCATTAATATATGTGTTAATTACTGTTGGCAATTTTTTATGTGCAATTGCAGCAGTGCAAATACAACAATTGAAAACCAGGTATTTCCTTTACTACGCATGAAATGTTTACAGTACAGTATTACACAATAACAATGGCCAAACCGGATAATTCGAACCCACTTATTTTTAAGTCGGAATTTTTTGGTCCCCTGGATTTCGAATTAATGAAGTTTTCCTGTATAGGGATGCCTACATTTGAAATCATTTCATGACAGAATCATACAATATTTCTGACTGGAAACTTCAACGAATGTGCACATGATTCCAATTGTATTTGGAATCAATTGTGAATCATGGGGAATTCCAAATGAAACTCCCCCAGAACCACTTCGAAATTTCAATGGAAAGAGTCAAAATTACAAGTTTAAAAGCTGGTTTCACAAGGAATGCCCAAGACAAAGTAAAAACTGCAAAATGTTTCCAACTTGAAACAGTTGGAAATCTTACTTGGAATAAAATATTAGATTCGAACCCAAATTGAACTGAACCCAAACCCAATTTTGTTGAACCTGAACTTTAACTGAACCCACAATAATAGGCAAGTGGGCTTGTTTTTTCATTTATTATTTTAAAAGTAAGAATGACAGGGTGTGATTTGCAACTCCTATAACTGTTGGAATTGACAAGTCATTGTGACTGCCGTTCACTTTCCATCAAAGGCAGTTCTTGCCTTCCAGAACCTTGTTCACCATTTGTCAAAACAGTTGGCATTTCTACTCCTGATTCATGATCCTCAAACGAATCTGATCAAATCATGCATCAAAATGTATTTCATATTCTCTACTATCAAATTAATTTGAGAGTAGAGAATATGAAATACAGCTCAACTTCAACTCTGCAGATGCTACTTCCAGCAATGATTCACCTACATTCTGAAAACAAAAGGCATGGATGTCTCCCTGTCTTATAGGCCCAGGAGTAATTAGCTACACTAGCCCTTTCACCCCATTCAAAGAGGGCTTATTCAGCTTGTGGACTGCATTGCTTCAACAAAAGATGCAGAATACCTTTTAATATAATGATTTTTGAAACATAACATGCAAATGCCTACTTGAGGGCTTTTTGCTGCAACCCATGCTTACTGTATTTCAGTCCCAACATACCTGACCTTTTCAACAGGCCTAATCAGACGGAACAGAAATGTGAGCTGAACTTTGAACTTGAACATCCAACTGAATCAAACTGATTCCAAAATCTTCTGAACTTCAGCAGAATCAAACCAAAGTATTTAGGGTTCATCTGATCTCTACTGGGTACATCTGAGAAGAGCTGACACCAAAAGCACAATGTTTAGACATTTACTGACCTAGCTAAAACAAAAACTTCCTTTGTACATACAAGTAACCTCATACAAAACCTTACACATAAACTTATGCCTTGTTCTCAAACACACACTTATAGGATGAATTTGGAAAAAGGTTGAAAGTCTTCTTGACACAGCAATGCATATAATAAAAGTGAGAGTACAGTACAATATAGAGTTCTTAATCAAATTCCTGGAATAATAATTCTGTCACAGAAGGCTCTATAGTAGGAAAACCTGGATCTATGCTGTATTGGAACAGAGAAGAAATGCAAAAACTTGGTCCATGCCTGAGTTGCAGCTGAAGGAGCTCACTGAGGACAGTGGCTGAGGAGACATTGGATCCCAGGCTGTCCTCACCTGACATCCACATCTTCTCTGCCAGGACCTGACAAAAAAAAAAAGAACCAAGTTGTTCAATTGGATAATTAAGACAATAAATTTCTGACTGCTTGGCCAGAGGCATCAAAGTGACTTTAATAACATAAATTGAAAGTAGACAGCAGTAAAAAAAAAATTATCAATACAATTAATAAAAATGAAGTCTTCCATGTCATGCAGACCTTGTCCATGAGGAGCTGAGATCTGAAGAAGGCGATGACAAGGTTGGCAGAAGAGGTGAGTGAGGGCTCCATCTCAGCCAGCTTTCCCAGGTCCTGGATCCCTGTCTCCAGGATCCGCCTCCAACCCCGAGTCCCTCCCCCCACAGCCACCCGCTCTAGCACTTGCTTGAGGAATTCCTGTGTGTGTGGGGTGGGTACTTCCTTCTCTGTTATGCTTCCTCCTCCTCCTCCAGATGAACTCTTCACACCTGAAAGATCCTTCTGGTCCACCTGCCAGCCCATCCAAAATTCATTGAGAATTGAATGTAGCATCATTATGAATGATAGGTGAAACAGCATATGAATGAAAACCCATTGATTGAGCAATCCAGCAAAATCAAGGGAAAAAGGAACAAGTAGTTGAATTGATGATCAAGGATACAATGTTATCTAGAAAGAAGTATAAAATTCACATTGATTCTCTTGATACACCAACAGCACAGCTATGTTGTCAGTAGTGATGATGCAAGAAAAGTTGACATGCATTGAAAGAGATACTATCTTATTCCAAAAAAAAGACAGTGCTCTCATGGGCTTCTTGAGTGAATGTAACCTCTTTTCTTATTTGAAGCTGAAAGGTTCTAAGCCAAGATCATGATTAATTCTACATCCCTGGAAAGCTCCCTCTGCCTCCTTTGATGTAAAATACATGAAAACTCTTTCAGGAGTTTCAATAGGGCACCCAATGAAAAGGAAGGGTTTGCCCTGCCTGCTGTTTCTTGAATGCTTAGTTTTTTTTATATTTTTTATAAGGTGTATTTTACAGTGAGAATGTCCTTGATATTTGCACAGAAGAAATTTTACACAATTGACACAACCAAAGATAGTACATCAGTAACAAAGGTACCATAGTCTTCCCCTGTCTATTCATAATTGCATTCTGTGATAAAATAAATTTGCATATCACTGGAAAGTCAGATAAAGACAGCTTTTCCAATTATGTGTAACATGGACATCCCAGACCGCATACTCGCTTAATTCTGAAGGACACAGCGGAGGATGTTGGCTGTGCCCAAGATTGCTGTATGCTGGAGGATATCGAGTGATATTTCACACTCTAGCTTCCTAACATGTCCCTTGAGGTCCTTCAGGCTGACACCAGTTGTGCTGATGATGATCAGAATGATGGTTGCCTTCATTCCACACAACCATTCTACTTCCACTTTCAGTTCTGAGTATTTCTCCAGCTTCTCCCTGGTCTTCTCTTGGAGGTTATTATCAGTTGGGATGCTCACATCTATGAAGAGGGTGGTCTTCTTCTCCTTCTTATAGATCATGAGGTCTGGCCTATTATAGCTTATGGTGCGGTCCGTAATTATGGGCTGTCCCAGAGTACCTTGGTGGAGGCGTTCTCTACTACAGACTGTGGCTGGTGTTCATACCACTTCTCTGGGACATCCAGGCCGGCTTGCTTGCAGACACACCAGTGCACATATTTGCACACCTGGTCATGCCTGTACAAGTACTCCCTCAGGGCTAGTTTGGGGCAGGCACTAAGGAGGTGGTGAACCGTTTTGGGTGGTCCATGACAGCATCTGCAGCAGTCTTCCACATCCAGCTTCAGGATGTGCTTCTCGTAGTTACGAGTTCTAATGCACTGGTCCTGAATGGCTAGGATGTTGCTCTTTGTCTTGGCATTCAACAGCCCTTTCTTCAGCCAGTTATAGCTGAAGTCTGAGTCGATTAATGGTTTATCCATGATCTTGGGATGCTGGCCATGAAGTGGTTTCTCCTCCCATCAAGCCTCTCTTTGTATTTGGTCTGCTGTCTTCACATCCGTTGTGTCACAGTCATCATCATGATGGAGTGTGTTTCGGAAGCGGCTGGCATTTCCCTGGATGGAGTGAGATTTCTTTAGGGCATCGCATTCTCTCAGGATGGAAATGAGTCGTCCCTGCTTCCTTTCAATGAACCTGGTGACTTCGCACGTTGTCCGCTTATAGAGGGACTCGAGTTAAATCGGTTCCCTCCTTTGCATCTCAGAAGGTAGAGTCTTTCAGCAGCAGCCTTCGGATGGTGGGTGTGATGCATGGTCAGGAGTTTTCTGGTTGCTCGATCAATGGCCTGGAGTTCTGTAGGTGACCATATATACAGGGGGTTCATATTTAAACACAACATAGGGAATATTTTGCTGTTGGTAGGTGAAGTTTGGCAAACGCTATAAGGCCCAATGGGTTGCATATCTGCAAGGAAACACCAGGGATAGGTTTCATCCTTCCAGATATGCAACCAGGTGAGCTATAAGTCACACTCTGAACTCCACAAACAGGTGGCAAAAAGGTTCCTATGTTGCGTTTAAATATGAACACCCTGTATATATATATATTTCAGGTCTATTGTGCATGTTTATCTCATTCCAGTACAGCCTGGCCCCAGGTCCTAAACTTTCTTCCAGCATTCTTTTCATGTTTCTTTCTGCATCTATTTTATGCATACCACTATATCATACAAAATAGGATGTAAATCCTCAGAGAATGTGCAAGATATGGCAGCATGCTGAGCACATGGTCATGGCAGAACACACAGGCACTGACAGGTGACTTTAACATATCCCATTACGAGGAGATTACATGAAGACTAATATCCTGGACTGAAAGCACTAGCTCCTAATGGCTTATTTTTAGAAGTATCCATCAGGGTTTCCTGTCAAGGAAAGTAAGTCCTCTCTGCCTTCATATCTTTGGGACAATGCTCCATCAACATCCAGAGGTCTGGCAGATTTTACATTAGGCCAGTGTACTTAGTGTGCATAGGCAGAATATGTCACTCAATAGAAAACAACTGAAAAGGTAAAAGAGGAAATACCTTGAGAGGGGGCACAAGGTGGGGCATAGAGTCCCGGAGATAATGGTAGTGGCGGAGGCAATAGTCCTCCAAGAGGGGGAACATGGTGGGACAGTCCCGTGCAGCATTGAAGATCAAGATCAAGATGCAGATATCTGATAAGATCCCACTCATCAAGGAAGGAGGTATCAGGTCAATGTCTAAGTTGCAATCTTATCTAACATATTCTTTCATGGAACATCTACAAGGAGCAATTTAAAGGTTCCCAGATTAAGCAATACTGAAACTGAAGTAACATATTTATTGACTTGATTTTGTTTCTTTCTCAACATACAAGCCCTTGAGTCCACAAATTTTATCCATCACTTGGGCAGCATTTCAATGCCCCCAAGAAACCAATCCCAGGGGATGTTTCATTCACAGAAAAACTGCTGATAATGCAGCAGGTATGCTTATTAAAACCTTGCCTTGAAACACTTCCCTCAGTTCTGAGAATAAGAAAATTAAGGAGCTAGATACACGCTGTAAGGGGCTGGTTTGACTTATTTGGGCAAAATTATTCCAAGCAATAAATTGCCAGTCCCATAAAGACATAGTAGATATTAAAAAAAAGCCTTTTTCCATCATAAAAAATTGACAGTGCATTTTGCTTTGATCTTGAGTCCCAAATGAGTTTGCCCAAATGACTTAGACTAAAAATGGCATGAAAATTAAGAAAAAAGATACAGATACACCCAAACACTTGAACAAAGTATCAGCACAGCAGCAAGCAGTATACCATATCAACCAGAAAATTGACTCAGTTCCCAAAGGAATTAATGCTTTAAATTTAATAGTGCAGTTTCATATCATGAAAGCCAGAAGTATGTGACAATATTCCCCTGAACATCTCAACTTCAAATGTGATACTTCTCAACCATAAATTTCTTATGTATACTTATACTTGAGAAATATTACAGTTAAAAAAAAAAAAACTTGTTCAGTAAGCAATGATTGGTTTGACAAGTAAAGGGCACAGCTATGCAGAAACTCCCTTAAATTTTTATAAATACCCTTCCATGTGAGTTAATAATAGGTCTATGTCTTCTAGCAACTGCTGATTTTTTCTTAATTACATACAAGCAAGCTTGTGCATATTGACTTTCACCTGACTAAATTTGGACCAGATAACTTACTTTTTGGCAAAGTAATAAGAATTGTTGCACATTCACAACTTATGGTGATGGCAGCGGCTCACATTAAAGATGAATTGGAAGTATGTCAGAGTCCCCTGCAAAGCTGGCAAGCATGTTGTGCTTAAATTACATGTTTTCCAATCCAGGGATTACACCTGAAACAATAAGCTCCCCAGTAATCCCTGCCACTCTCCCAAGTAACAATGAACAAGTACATTTCCTTCAGCCAGGCTCACCCCTCATTAATGCATGTTCATCACTACCATGGAAGGGATGGAGAAGGTGGCAGAAGAAAAATGGGAGAAAAATGAAGGAAAAACCCATACAGGAGGAGAGTTTCTGCAATCCAGCAGCCCCCCCCCCCCCCCAAGGATGTGAGTCCTGCATCATAATGCAATGGAAAGGATACACCCTTGGTCCTGGAGGTCATGCTCAGGTGAATCAAAGAACGGATGTATCATGAGGAACTCAGGAACTAACATGAGGACCAGCTCTGGGTGATGGGTTCCCAAGTCCCTGAAGCACCTCCACAGGGATCGGCGATCCTGTCAAATGAGGAAATAGGGAGGTACAAATAATAAAAATCTGAGAGCATCAATGAAAAGGATGAGAGCATAATGGATAAAATAGTATCAGGGTATACCTGAGGGTATCGTCGGAGGTTGTCAAGGAGGGCATCAACACATGTGCGCATGCAGGTCTTGGTTGACAGCCGACATGTTGCCAGGAGCTGGTGAAGCCCTTCCCGTACATCCAGTGAGAAGTCCTACACATCAATCACTCACTTTTCACTGGATGCAGGGATCAGAATTTTGCATAGCAAAACTTAAATGAATATTTAAAAAAGACTAACTAGGGTGAGACAAAAATTTAACCAATCATCACCTGATACTTTCTACTTGGATGTCAATGAAAAGAATAACTAATAAAAGGTCACAGAGAAAGTAGGGCCATTCTCAGCACATCTCTCCTTGATCAAACCTTTGGAAATACTGAAAAGATTCTGAAGAGGCCAACTACCAGACAAGTGGTAATGGAGTAAATCATGCTTTTGAAATTTAAAAAGTATAAGACAACTTAGGCCAAACAGGGTCTCTGGAAAGTTTGCAAAACCTGGTCCATTATGATGAAAATTAAATTCACTTTAAATCCCTGAGGTACCATTTTCTCATAATAAGCAGGGTGGTTAAAAAACAGTCATATCTCAAATCTCACCTTCACCTGGCAAATAATCTGCCAGATGACTTCTGTTCACTTCAAACCATTCCAATATTTAAGCTTCAAAATATTTAAATAACTTAGTGAAAATTGGTAAAACTTTTTTGTTAACTGGTACATTTTCTTTCTGGTTGAAAGTGATTGCTTTTGTATGCTGCAAAAGAAGCACAAAATGGAGAAATGGTTTAGGTGACCTCAAGGGCAGCAAGTACGGTGTCTAGCTGGTCCTCCCGAAGGACAATGAAGTTGGCAATTTGTTGGAGTCCCGCAATGGCCTTCACACGCACAGCTTCGATTTCATCATTGAACATGTCCACAAGGAAATCAATGGATTGGAGAGCAAATGAGGGTGACTGCAGTGCCAGGGCTGTCAGGGAGTCGATGCTCTGCATCCGCACCGCTGCATCAGACAAAGGCTTTGTCAAACCCTGTTATTTTCTCACTGTTCATCTGTTTTAATAGCATGTGGCACTGATGGTACTTGTATGAATCTGTAATTCCATTCATAATCTCAGTGAGACCATGATGATGGAATGGATGCTGGATGATAAAATATGAAAAATCCTAGAAAGTTATTTCCATAAAATGTGGAATGGAAATGAAAGCATATAAAAACAGAGGAATCAAAAGTAGCAACACAAGCCTTTTGCAGCAGAAGGCTATGATAGACAGGATTCACAGAAATGCTTAAGAGGCTTTTTTTTTTTCCAGGGTTTGAATTCCATTTTTGGGACTACTTATCTGGCCAAAAATTTCAGTCTTTTGTTGGGCTTTAATCTACAACAGAGGGGCAAAATAGGAGCTGGGCAAGCCCAATTCAACAGTGGACAGGACTATCAGTGACGGTTGGGAATATCAGGAAATAAGACTCATAAAAAGCTTGTGGAAACCAACTAAAATGGGAATTGGAATCACAAATAGAACAGGAGGAACCAACCCATGCATTCATCCTCGAGGCCGTGTACAAATGCCCCACACGCCCCAATGTTCATGAGGGTGATGGATTCAGAGTCTAGGTTATCCTTTGGAGCATCATCAGCCCACCGCTGTCCTGAAGACCATTCACCGCTGCTCTGCATCTCCCTCTGACGCTCATGAGCAGACTTCTTCCTCTGCCAACCCACAAAAAAACCATCTTCTTTCAGGGCTCAATTGATTGATGGTGCAATTTTCCCCTAGTTTTGTCTATGTCACAAGTTCCCTTGATAATATTCCATAAGTAGGCAATCATGGAGCATTGACAGAGAGAACAGAGGCATTACAATTCAAATGATAAAATTTTAAGAGCTTTGTTTATGTCTCTGACAGATTTACTTGAAAAAATACACATGTTGCCTCCCTCAGTAAAAAAAAAAAAGAAGTTAATGCAAAGAAAGGTTAGAAAGGTTCTTGAGAGACACTGCTGAAAAGTTTGGCCTAGGGGGAAAGTAACTCCATGGGTAAAAGGGTTATATTCATCCAAATTGATCTACAAAGAGTGTTTTTTGCTTAAAATTAAAGTCACTTAATTTTTTGGTAATAGATACAGAAAAGTTCATAGGAAACTTCAAGTTCAGCTACATCCAGGTGAAAAACACTTTCCTAGATCAAGAATGGCCAAAGATAGCGATTTGATCCAGGGAGTCACCTTTCCTTATGAAGGCAAACATTTGTGAGGCATATCTCAAGAACCACTCAGCTAGTGTACTACAAATTGGAAATATTTTCATAACTCAGAGGCAACTATGGAATTTTTTTTCAAGCAAATCCCTGTTGGATGCACTACTATTATTTGATTATTTGAGCTGGAATGACTCAATAACAACATATAAAAAAAAGCAAAGGTAGAGTGAAAATATTTTTTCCAAACACAGAATCTCATCACAATGAGGAAGAAAAGTACGAGGGAGCAAACATACCCGCATGTCAGACATGAGCTTCTTGTCAAGTGTCTGGTCAAGGAAAGGCTGAGAGACACGCCGCATATGGCCAAGGAGCTCAGCTGACAGTGCTCGCACTTCCACTGACAGGTCATTGATACCGTTACAGATGAGGGCAAAAGCATCATCAGCTAGGCGGATTGTTGACTCTGGGTTTCCTGACAGTGGCACTGCACTGGTAATGTGGTAAAACATGGCAAGGCATCAAATTTTGTTGAATTTTGGCCTGGATAGGTCATTTCATATGACATTGCAACACAGGGACTAATGTAGTCCGATCTTGTAAAATTGAAGCTGACAAAGCCACTGGAAATATTTAATACAGCAATACCTTAAAATTCCCAAGACCTGGGAACATGTTCTAGAATGAGTCATGCAAAATCACAGAAAACCATTTGTGCAAATTTAGGTTCAGCTTTCTCTCCTTGCCATCCTAAAGGACTCCTTTTTTACCAGAGTAAAGCATCCTTTTTGGCACATACTGTTCAGGATGTGCTTGACTGATGGTGAAGACTACATGGAGGGCCATCTTGCGCACTTGCTCATAGTCGTCTTTCAACCCTGATGATACCCTGTTGTACATTCCTGGATCCAATTTCACTCCTCTATGGTTCATGTCCAACTAAGAAAAAGAGGGAGGTGCTGATTTCATGGCTGTTTCAAGGCAAATAAAACTGCTGAATGAAAGTTCATGCTTCCAACGAGATTGAGGGAAATGCATCTCACAAAGAAAAATAACAGAACATGATTTCAAATTCTTTTTCAGTATTGAAACTGAAAGAATCAGTGTCTCAACTTCTTGTAGGCACTCTGAAACATTGGGAGATAAATTCAAAATCAGCCCTATTTAAATATAAATTGGGATTTGATTCACCAAGATTTACAAATGCACCACTTTCAAGTGACAAAAACTCACAAGTGCTTGGTAAGCAGCAGTACGGACACGAGGATCCTGATTCTGTGTATGGAGTGATGCCAACTTAATGCTTCCACTTTCAGATGGGCCACTCAGTTGCCCAATAATCCTCAGTGCCTCACTCTGTACTGCATGATGACCCTCACTTAATGCCTATAAAAACCATGAAACAAAAATATCCAGCAAAAAATATGTTGCTTACACGTTTTCAGGAAAAGCAAACCAGGCAGGCACAGACAACACAAACAAATGGTGCTCATGAGGTTTATGCATATCTTTGAAAGGGTATAGCTTTTTCAGGAGTTCATCTGCAAATTACTATTCTGTTTGACATACAATGCAAGTCATAATATCACGAAAAATTTTATTTTTCCAGTTCTTTCTACATGTAAATTATGTCAATTTCTTAATTTTTGTTCTGTAAACTCAACACATCCATAGCAGGTTGTAAACAACATATGGTATTTGATTCTTCTACAGAAAAAGACAAATAGCATCCATGAAAATATGGCAATTAAAAAAATGAGGGACAGTCAGAAAACCATAAATATTCATAAAAGGATTCATAAAAGGTTTATCCATTGAAATCAATAGAGGAAAGGGACAGATGCATTCCTGCCAAAATGAAAATTAACTTTTTTCATTTAACTGCTGAAAGGAGTCAGAGAATTTTATGGCATTTTAGAGCAATGGTGATCTCACCAGTACCACAGGTTCAAAGAAAATTATGGTGTGTGTGTGACCTTTCTGAAAAATAACTGAAATTAAATTAAATGCTATGATAAGCACAAAAACAAGAAACCTGATTAACAAAACTTGTTTGAATTAAGGACAGTACAGAAAAGTCATAGCATATGAAGAGAGAGTGAAGAAAAAAAACAATGACCCTGAAATGTTAAAAGCTTTCATATACCCAAATTTATTATACAGGGTGTTAAGAAAGTTGTGTCCCATCGCAATATGCCTATAACCTCAGCAAAAAAATACTTTTCACTATAGCCGCCCGCCCTTGGCAAAAAAATCAAAATATATACATTGAGAAAGACTATACCATTTCTAGACTATGAGAAACAGAACATAACATGCAGGAAGGAAGAATGGGGGAAAATAGATATATTGCAAAGTTTGAAGACATCAAGCACAGAACCTGTTTGGCAGCAAGGAGGATCTTGAGTCGGAGTTTGGGATGCTCCAGCTGGAGAGCAGAGCCAAAGGCATGGAGCGTGCGCAGACCTGCTGCCTTCACCTTCTTCCATTTTTCCTTCTTCACCATTCCCACTACCCTCTCCACCACTGCCTGGATTGCCAAGTTTCTCTCATAATGATTAAATTCAATTTCCCAAAGGGTCTGCTTGGACTTAACACATTTTTTAAACTTCTTCCTATGGAAAATTGTCATAATTTCGTAATTTTTTTTTAGGGCTGTCAATTCGATTAGATTAATCGACCAATTAATCTATTAAAGTATTAATCGCAATTAAAAAAATTAGTCAGAATTAATCCAATTTTAATCGACCCCTAATCTCCCCCTGAATGCCTCTTTTTCACCTGATATCTTTACTGTGTAGTTCATAGTTTTGCAAAATAACCGACAACGAATGCTTTATCATAGAAATGAAATGCAATGATGGCTTATAGAAGGTAGTCGTTTTTGCACTGCTCACTCTTCCTTAAAAATGACTTACTATTTTTGGAAAAAAGGGAACACAAATCAAAGCCATCGCTTTTAGACTATTCCAAAAAGAAACTTCCTGACCCTTCACATCCGCAAGTGTACTGGTACACGTACAGTGTCCTTCTGCCTAACCTACGGGCTTTAAATGCATAGCCTTGCGGGTCTTGCGCGTCAGGCTAAGGTAACAGCAGCCTAGGGCAGAGTGACTGAAAAGTCACTGGATGGGAATGGGGGAAGAAAGTTGCAATGAAGCTGCAAGGGTAAGCACAGAAGGAAGAGGGGGGTTAAGCAGGGACATGGGACAGGAGTGGCGAGATAGAGGATCATGTAAAGACTGGGGAGTGCAAGGTGTACGTCTAAGTGCACCAACAAAGCTCTGTGGGAGTCCCCGGAAAGTAACTAAGAGAGGAGGAGAGCTGAGGGAGAAACGGAAAGGAAAGTGTGAAACCCTCTCCTTTTCCTTGTTTGCTCCTATTTTTGCTCTTCCATCCTGTGTTGCCCAAAAATCGTTAATGAATCTTTAAATCTCAGCATAATGAAATGTCACTGTATACATCCAATCATTTAGGTTACATTTTTGCATCCTTTTGCTATGGATTGACTAAATGGCAAAGGGCCTCAGTGTACTTCTTTCCTTACGTTCCATGATTTATCTGTCTAAGTTGTAACTAATTTCTATCTGATCGGAACGTGTCACATGTAGGATGAACTAGTGTTATGTATGGATAGTAACTGCTGTGTTAGCGACTGCATCGCCTAGAGTCACTCCCTGAGGCTCACCTAGGAGTTGGGCATGACACAAGCAGAATCATTACCAATGTCTAGGTCATGATTCAAGGAGGAACTAAGGGATCTATGAAAATTAGATTAATCAACTGATTAATCGACTAAATGGCTCGCAATTAATCTATCACATTTTTTAGTCGATTGACAGCCTTAATTTTTTTTAATGTGGGGAAACTTTCTAGACCCTTCAAGGTTTTCCTGTGTCTGGGAACTATGATCAACTCTCAACTCCTATTTCTTAAGGGAAGATAGTCCTTCACCACACTTTGATTTAAATTGAGTTTCTAACAAATCAGCATTCCTGGAGCTTTCAAGTGATATGAAAAATTTTTTCAGTACAGCCAAGATGGAAGACAGGTCGAAATGCCACAAAAAGTCCTTGAAAAAGGTAAACCAAAACCAGGCAAACCTTGGGTTCTGCAAGTGGGTGGGCTCCAATACGGGCAAGGACAGAGATTATGCATTTGCGCACATCTTTCCCCTGATCTGCATAGCATCTCAACAGATGCCCATCCACCTCAGACAATTCCTCCTTCTGCAAAAAAAAAAGAAGTAAATAACTTATGATGATGATGCCTTTTCCTCTGTGATATTAAAGCCTTGCTATTATGAGCTCTCAGCTCATCATCCTGACTTACTTAGATTTTAGGAAATGTATTGTATGGGCAAGTGCATGCCCAGCTATCACAAATTTGATGACATGGTAATTTTCTTTATTGACTCATCAACCTTTGCCTTTCCTAGTGTCTTCACTTAGGTTTCCCTCAAACTCTCCTATGCTTCGGCAGGGGCAGTTGCTTTGAAGGGGAAAAAAAAGGCTACTGGGACAAATATACTGGTTGTTTTGAGGAAAAATGTTTGTTGTGGTTTTGAAAGCAGAGTTTCACATCTGCTTGATGCTAAAATTCATAAAACAGCAGCAAAACTTTCAACTCCAGGCCTCACTAAAAAAAAAAGGTGAAAACTTAGAGAGCAGACAATGTATAATTGTGTAAAGTTGTATACGTCTTTCAAATTTGAAAATATAGAATTGAAGGGGCATTTCTACAAATTTAAGCTTTTTTTGGTATGAGGGGACTTTTTTCAAAAATTTTCTCTCATTGGTGGTCAGAGTTAACCAGGGCATAATCAATGAAACACACATTGAAGTGAATGAAATTAAGTACTCACAGACATGGAGGGAAGTGAGTGAGAGATATGAAGGAGAAGCTTGATGGCATCTGTTGGGGCAGGAGCAGCAGAGAATGCTGCAAGGAGATCCTTGACTGAGAGCACCCCTCGATCTCCCTCTGGCCTCTTCACCAGGCGCAGCCGTTTTGGAGGACTGACTTCCTCTGTTTCTTCTACCACCTGACTATACTGGGCCAGGGCTCGCTTCTTTAACACTGCTGCCATGTCACTGTGCGAATAGCAGTTGATTAGCAGACCTGGAAGGGTTACTCAGGACCAGGAGAAACTAGTACAGGAGAAAGGAAGAACCACAGTCCTTAATAAAACTTGGGACAGGTCCATCACTGAAATACACAGATTTTTATCTCTCAAATGAACCATTGGTTATCCTCAACAAGCACATCCAGAAACAACCATAATTGTATATCCAATGCATGTCTTAGCCCCTGTTCTCCATACAACTATATCAAGCCTGTAAAAATTCCCACTTGCTTGTTGCAAGTATGTTTTGTGGTTTGGGGAGTCAAAAGAAAACAGCTTAGCTAGTGAAAATCAAATGACATAGCAAATGAAAAGCAAAGAAAGAAGAACCCACCCCCATTGTTCAAGGCTTGGTTGACTGCTCCACCTTACACAGTTTCCATTACCTCCCCCTCTCGTGAGTTTGAATTGCCCATCCTCAATACCCAATACGTGCCTTTGTGCAGGCCTATCAACACATGAGCTATGCTATCATATTTAGGGGGTGGGGGTGGGGCAGAAATTATGGTGCCTGACAGGAGAAAATTTGGAAAATTTTCTGAGTTGGAATATATAGGACTATGAACAAAACAAAATATTGTAGTTCCTTCCCATATAATACCTGTTGTTTTCCACACAGTCCAATTGCAATATGTAAGATTACAAAACATCCATTTCCAGGTATCAAAATGGAAAAATTCTCAATGGCTCATCAAACTCCTCTTCCATATATCCCACCCTACACCAACTTCAGTTTAAGAATTTTTCATAAATGCTTCCACAATCAGCATCTCAACATTGATGGTTGAGAAAAGTGTTAAATGTGTTTTTGCTTTCTGCTCATTATTCATAATCCTTCTTTAACTTTTTGTTCACTGAACATTTAGATCAATGCATGGGGATGACCAATGCAGGTGAGGTAGTCAATTATGAAAAAAGCAACAGTCACTTTTAGTCAATGCAAATGAGGGACCAAAAGGAGGGAGGAAGTCACTCCTCCAGGCAGCAACTGGGCCACCCCGGTACTCAACTTCAAGCAACATAGTGGGAACAACAGCAGGCTTCATTAATATGAACCTCTATTTCAAAACCACGGTTCACAAAAATATACTATTTTGACTAGGAGCACAGGGAAGGTTCCACGGAAGCTGGGTCACAGAACATTCAAAAGCTGGTGAACCATTGTGTCTACAGACTTAAACAAATCAAACAATTCAATCCTACTTTGATCCATCACAGAAAATACAAAATGCACAGATATTGTAAAATTGCAAGATGCCTAACAAGGTGGTTCGATTTTTGCTCAAGGCCTTACCCAATGTGGAACTCTTTTATCCTGTTCAAAATAGCACCTAAATTGTGATTTCTGTATCACAGAATTCATGGCCTAGTTTTTATAACAATAATACTTTGATGCTGAAAAATGTGTTCTTGGCATGAATCTTAGAAAAGAGCAGATGACCAGAGAAATTGCAGACCTGTAATATCACACAAACATAAGCTATAATCTTGTACTGGCTTTGGCATGTTTACTGACTGGCAAGTTTAAAGGCTTTGTGCAAAGCCTGTACACAAAAACAAAGATTATACTAAATCTCTAAGAGGTAAAGTGTCATAAGCAGAGACAAGACATGTTCACCCAATTTTCAGGAAAATTTTGACATTGTTTTGATGGAAGATTCCCCTCCCATAGTAAGTAGATATAAACTCAATTTTACATGGGAAATTTCAGACCATGCATGAGAAGGTCCTTGAACAGTCTATTTCAGGAATGCTCATGATGAATGGTAAAAAACAGAGAAAAATTCAGCAACAAGATAACAAATATGACTGAGTTACCCAAATAATAATACTGAAAAAAAAACAAACAAAACAATATGGTTAATGCTCGTCATGGATCACATCCAAGCCTGAACCCCTACCTGAATACCTAACAAATACAGATACATCTCTTTTAATTAACTCCACTCTCGTCAGTTCTTGGCTCAGTGGTCTGGGCAAGGGCTATGTCCCCTGTCTTGTGGTCTGAGGTGAGATGCCTTGCTGAGAGGAGTGACGGAGGGTGGTCCCAGGATGGGGATGAGCTTCTGCTGTTCCTGCCACACCAGTGCTTTCCCACTGTGTATGTCCCCATGAGGAAGAATAGCCCACCCAATGCCGAAAAGTAAAAGCAGTATGCCATGAACTGTGAAAGATAAGAATGTTTTTTCCTATTCAACACTTACAGTCACCATCAATTACTTTTACAAGATGTACTGTACAAAGACACGACACATGTAATGTAGATGCTAATCCTTTGAAGGCTGTTGCCTGAAAGTTTAGTCTTAATAGGAATTTGTTTCAAGCTGGAGAATTTCAGCAATGATTATAATCAATTGCATATACTTCTCTCTGACAAAGATGAAACACCATAAGACCAGCAAGTACAAAATTGTTTTAAAAAAAAAAGGCAGACGGTGGTATGATACCTGCTCGCGAGGGAGGAGGGCAAATCCAATGTCTTCAACAACAATCACAGTGAGCAGGGTTTGAAGAACAAGCGCCACAAATGTGTTCACACCGAAGATCAAACCATAACTGTCTGGCAGGATCTCCTTCGCCACTTGGAAGCTGTTTGACATCCAAAAATACACTTTTTGTCAACCGTATTTTCTTAGTTTATTGGAGTGGCATAGTAGCAGATATGAAAAATTAATATGTCATTGGATACAATACAACACTACTTGCAATTCATTTAATTTTTCTAATAGTGGAATATGGAATGGGGCCATTAATGCTTCATACCAAATCCAAGTTTTAAAAAATAGACTATTGCAGGTAAGCTCCCATTAGTCTCTAATAACAATTTTGATACATTAACCTCTTGAAAGATCTTTATAATAGAATTAAAATCGTTTTCACAGCAGTATATGAATCCAAATCCCAGAATATGACTGGAGGGAAGGTGTAACAAGCAGAGTGTCACAAGACAAGCAGGCAAGATGTTGTAACATTAAAAACAAGATGCGAGGCTCTAAGAGGAGAAAAAGGAGCAGACCTGATGATGGTGATCATGACCTGATAGGACATGCGAACAACAACATAGCCAATGTAGGCGACCCAGATGTTCTGCGTTTGGGACATCAGCCCTAGCATAGTTGCCTCCAGCAAGGATACAATCCCCAGGACCAGGTCCCCAATCAAGCCCCAATTCAGAGTTACATACCCCACAGCAAATGCAATTGCTGCAGCTGCAGAAAGTAGAGCACACACATCAGAGCATTAAGTGCTAAAGAAACCCAATCACAGATTTTCATGTATAAAGGTAGTAGCCTTTACCAATCCTTTTTATTATTCACATCAGATTTTGAAAAAAAATTTAAACCTGTTGATATTCTTGTATTTTCTGCTGCACAGTGCTTTTCTAGAAGTCTCCTTCATTATTCATTGTCGGGAGGGTACTGGGTTCTGGTAATGGATGTATAAATGTATATTATGTAAGTGTAACTTTAAAGTATCAGTCTAACCATCTCCAATGTAACCTCCTCTGGTTCCTGCCTGATACTTGAGACTTCTGCTACCTTTTGTCCTGGCGCCTGCCTATTTATGCTGTCAAGAGGCTTAGTCCCACTCATTCCATTCATTTTTTTTATCCCTCCTGGTCCCATAAAAATAACTGATAATATTAATAATAGCCATGGAGCAAGAATGAGGCCAGTGAGGCAGGATGAAAGTAAAGAATTAGTGTTCCTTTATGCTAAAGAGATATTTCTTATTTCCATGAGTCCTTCCAAGAGAACATAGTGTTCATGCCTACTGTTTAGAGAGTTGAAAAATAAAAATTAAATTATAAAGTACTTAGAAGATGTGCTTGAATGGAAAAATTAAAGCATGTGTGATATAAATGCATGAAATAAAAAGTTTGACAGTGAGAGGAGAATGCAGTCCACAATATCCAACCAGAACCTAAAAGGAAAATAAACATCTTCCCATGGAGATTCTGAATCACAGTAACTTCTACTGTCAACAAAAATATATATTATGCTTACTATTTCAGATTTAATTGATATCTAATCCTTGAAAATGAATAAGTATTGAATTCAAAGTATCAGTCTTGCCACAAATAACTGGATTTGAAAAACGATCATCCAAGAACCAAATAAAGAAAGTTAATTTAAATCATGATTTACAAAAAATATTTTTATTTAACTCTAAATTTTCATCAGTGAACTTTGCCTAAAACATGCAATACATACATCTTATGGATGTAAATTCAGCATTAGAATAGTGAATATGTATACCAACCCAAAAGTCACTTTGTGCTTGACAATATAATGTTTCACATGCTTGAAATTCATTTATAATTTATCATTTATTAGATTAGGATTAGAGGGAAAAGGATAAATAATAAATAAGAGATTATAAATAAATAGCATATTTTTCAAATACTTGAAATGTACCCAGTGTCAAGTGTAAAGTGACTTTTGGGAGACCCTATATTTGCATATTTTGATTTCTATATTGATCCCATTTACAATCCACAGTTGTGTCCTATCCATTCCAAGCAGCTTGTTGATCATGGGGGTTCCAAGTTTAAGAAGTAGAGTATCTGGAAAAGGAATAGTTTGATGTCAAAATCAATTTACGGTTTAATTTCATTTATTTAATTTAATGACCATCCTTTCAGTTTGTGAGAGCAGGCCCATGTTTAGACTCAATTAGTGCACAGTCCTTCTAACTGTATTTTTCACATTCAGACAGAGAAATCTTTGTCAGACAGATAATATACCTATTAGGCATGATCTAGACTGTGACTTCTTGGAAACTCCAATTCAATCACAGCTGTGTCAGTCTGACTCATAAAAAAGACTATCTTTATGTAGATTAAGCTCAAAAATAAAAAGGAAAGGCTGCCACTAACCAGAAAGGGTGGAAGCAGCCTCAACACCTCCATTGTAGATCTGTCCCTGAGTGGCATTGTATGGCTGGATTGTTTCCCAGAGTGGTTGGATGAAGTTCCCAACCTGATAGTTCCCACATGTCCCAAATGCCCACCAAACAGACCACTTGATGATGTCCCAACGTGTGAATGCATAGCGCAAGTCCTCCCAGATGAACCCAAAAGCCTGATAGCACTTGGTTGGTTCTTCTTGTCCTGATTCCTGCCTTGGAGTACCTTCTAAGAGAATACATGGATGTTTTTCTCATTGCACCACTTGTACTGGATATGAAAACAGCAATAAACCTGTTAAAAGGCAGTTTAAAGTGCTCTAATTTTAAAAATCATGTTGAAGGCTATGATTCTCTCACTCTTCCAGTTTGTGGCAATGGAAGGTTGAAGAGGTACAGATGCACTCTGTGGGCTCATTTATGGCTTTAATTCATCATATATATTTTCAGTTGTTTTTCTTCCTCTTCAATAATGGCCAGGCCAGGCCAGGCCATGCAGAAACCATTGCCTTGTCCAAGCAACTCAATGGATTCCAATCACAATACAAAGTATTTACTTATAGCTCTTTTGCAAGACACTGAAGGACATTGAAGGAAAAAGGTCTTCTAAGGAAATATTGGGCAAATTATAATTCAATAACTTTTTTAATTGTAATAACATATTTATTTGATTCAATAGATTAACATAATAAATTGGCTCACTGGTTCAAAAAGTTGAGATAAATATCATTCCATCCTCAATTCAGCACTGACCTTTAACTGTTGTGCCAGTCTCAACCTCTCGGATGCGCTGCTGTCGATGGAAATAAATGCTGGACTCCACAGATGGAAGGGCAAATGCAATCCCCAGGCAGATCACCATGCTGACAAAGGTGAAAAAGTTTAGCTCATAGAAGTCCATGGCCCCTGTGGATGTGAGGATCTGACTCATAGCACCCGAAGCAAACCGTCCTGTCAAGAATGCAGATCGAGTGTATGATGTCACCTTCTGGTACTGGTCCTTCTCCACCTTGGCATAGATGTAGGTGTAGTAGGCCACCTCAGTAGAAGATGCTATGCCATAAGTGAACTCCACCATCTGAGGATTTCAGTAAGGATTTCTCATCACAAGTTCACAAGCCAGGAGATGAAATGCAAATAAAATTAACAGAATTATGAAGGAAGAATCTGATGCAATATTTTTAATAGCATTGAACTCAATGCATTTTTGCAGATACATGCCAATAAAAATAGCAATAAAACTATTTCTATCTGGAGCGAAAATCAGAAAATGATTCTTTGATTAATCATTTCCAAACACAATTTGAAAAGACAAAAAATTGAACTTTAAGGAAAGTGCTTTATAGTAATTCTCATGACCCAAAACTATTTTACTTGCATGTGCCACATCAGGCTCAGGTTAACAACCAGTAGCATGTCCCAACCTGGTTTCCATTAGGTGTAAATAAGAAAGATTGGAAGTATAAATAAATTCATTAAACACAGAGAAAGGCTGTTGCCATATAAGAACAGAGAAAAATGAGATGTGCCATGGAGGATTGGGAGGGAGGAAGACCTGCATGATGCGGATAGAGTTGCCTAGGATGAGCATGATGTAGGTGGCCACATAGGCAATCCCCTCCAGGATGATCACTGGCTTGTAGCGGAAGTAGTCAGTCACAGCGAACACTACTGGCAGGGTGGCCAAGTATGAATATGTCCACACTGGGTACACATCTTGGTAGATCTGTCAGATTTTCAGATCAAAAGCCAGGTATTTATTGATGAGGCTACAGCAAAGGCAATAGGAGGGTCAGATTTGACACATTTTCTGCAAAAATTTTTATAATTAATTTCAATGCTGATTTTCTCAGGTTTGCCAGGTCCCCTTCAGGTAAAAATGTTATCCTATGCATTTGAATATTCCCCTACCATGGGTTCATTTGCAATGCGACCAGATGAGGTACCTGAGATTAGGTCAATTTGGTTAAGCACTTATTTCTGATAAAATGATGGAAGCACTTTCTGGGTAAGTTCTCCTGACTCCCAAATTTTCCTCCAGAATACATGCATGACAATAACATTCTCTCCCATCTGGATAATATCATCACAATAATAGGAGGAAAAAATTTGGTTTACAAGCACTTTGGATGCCCCTGACCTGGGTTTCAGTAAAGTTGAACCAATCACCAAGAAGATACTCTGTGATGAAGGGTTCTGAGGGTCGGAGTTCCTTGAAGAAGCCATAGCTGCAGAGGAGGAGTGTGGCTAACACCCAAGGTTGCATCCTTGTTCCACGTCACTAATGCCTGGCAGTTCAGATCTGATGAGGAAGGAAATCAATTGATAATGGAAGTGCAGACACCTGTTTTATCACCCAGAAGAGACACAAACCATGAGGAAAGATGTGGACTTCTCCAGAATCAGGAAGATATCATCATGTTTCACATGCATCAAGAGGCATGATATAAAGGAATTTTGCTGATGTGGTCAAGTACCTTAAGATGGCTTTTGGGTCACTAATTAGGCTCAGTTGCCTCAAGAGGCAATCCCAGTAGTGAAGAACTCACTGGACACCCATGCTGCCCTGCCCTAGGCAAGCCTATGGGCACAACCCACTGGACACTCAGAACGCCCAAAAGAAAAAACCCACAACAAATTTTCATCACAGCCCTTTATTCAAACATTCCAAGAATGCTATGCATATATATATGCATTGATTAATTGAATCAGCACATAAGGACATGAGCACCACTGCCCTGATGGTTAGTGTAGCTGTGAAAATCACGAAAATGACCTTAGTGAATCAGGAGCAAGTTCAAGGGCAAGGAGGCGTGAAGCTTGTTCAAAGACAATGCGATCCACTGTGCTCTGCTCTGGAAATTCTAGCATCCCAAACGTGATTGGATGAGGTTCCATAACCCGGTGGGATGACTCTGAGTTCCCTTTGGACACAGCCAAACACTTGTGGGAGTGGAGTGTTACCTAAATGAAAACTCTCCTCTTTTAAATGAGTAGAGAGCCACATAGAGCAAATATGTGGGACATAATTCACTTCACTCTTCATATCATCAAGGAATTAGCTCTTTTCAACATATTTACTGCCCAATGACCAACCATTGGTTCATGGCATCTTTTAATTCTCTCTAACTGATGCAAAACTAGCATGAGGACAAGCAGTTTCATGTTACAGTGGGAGCCTCTGCAGAATATTGACATGCTTCTCATGAACCTCTTGGGTGGCTCATGCAATCCTAATGGTAAGATTATATTCACTATTTCAAGTACAAGGTTGTCATAAAGATACCATCCAACTTTGTTGGGTCATAACTTCTGAAGGGACTGCAGGATGCAGCTGATCTGATTCATCATCAAGAGGTTGATTGGCCAATAAGTTTTTTCATACCTGCCAGATGGTGAAATATGTAGATAGGAGGCATTGTGGTTGTATATGCATTAAAGAGGGGAATATACATAATACCAATCATCAAATCAATATCCAAGGATGATTATCATCCATTCTCACTGTTGCAGTCAACCTGTGCACATGTTAGGAGAAAGCTGCATGAATTACATTCACTGGGATGGTAACATTCTAATCTTTTATGACAACCTTCAGAGTAGGTAAGCAAAACATTATCACTGTCACTGTGTTTCACATCCAGTTCTTAACACCAAATTAATGTGACATGTTGTTACATGATGAGTGACCTAAGGCACATTACCTTGAATGTTGTAAATAATTACCAGACATAATTAGTACCTGTTCGCTATTGCATATATGCAACAACAGCACTCCATATCAATAAACACTATCATTTGGAGGACATGCTAGAAACTATTTAGGCCCACCAGCTTCTCTGTCAAATATCAGTTACAACTAGGGCTGTACCGATGTAACAGGTAAAACCGGTATCGGACACTGGTGTTGCACAATCAACACCATCAGCCTATGGCAACGGTGCCGGTGCCCAAAGGACAGGCAAAGCAAAAAAAATTACACGAGGGTGTGAACACGCCTTGGTGCCGGCCCTCCTGACACATTGAAAGCCACTCCTGCCAGCCTCTCCCAGGCAAAAATATCAATCAGATTATGTTACTGCTGTATTACAGGAAGCAGCAGAGGAAAGTAGTGGCAAAGAATGGGAAATCATTGCGTCTCCATTTACGTTGTGCTTTTGCATGGGATGTGTCACTAAAAGCTCTAAGCTGCAGCAATGGGTAGCAAACTAACCATGGACAGAAGCATTGAGAGACAGACAGGCTGGACAGGACCAAAAGTGGTCTCTATTGTTTCAAGGAGGCCTACTGATACGTATCACTTGGCTTCCGATTAGGCCTATTTGAGTTTATAGGCAATTTCTTCTACAGGCCACAATTAGCACTGGCACCAGCCGATGATTATGAGGAAATAATCAGCCCACCAGCCAAATGTTGCCACTAGTACAGCCCTAGTTACAACCAACAGTTCCCTTATAAGGTATAGTCAAACAGAGTTGGGTGGTTTCTTTATAACAACCCTATACATTCTGATGAGTGTACTTTTTACTCCCTGGGGTTGCCCAATTAGCCTGAAATGGAAAAGCCATCTAAAAAGAAATACTTTTGTTTTTGCAATGGGGCAGTCAATGTGTTAATGGACAATTTGTAAGGCAGCCTAATTTTGCGGACACTATTCAAAAGTGAAAATATGAAAACCTCAAATACCAAAAAAAAAGGAATACAGAACTTAGAGGACTGAATGAAAAAATAAAATTTTTCAAAAATAATGGTACCTGCACAACTCTGTATGAAAAAAAAGTTACTTAAGAAAAGAAATAATGGACATGGCCAGTAGAAAAAGTAGACTTATGTGTGAATGCCAATTTGCTGGATAAATTCCTTTTTTGATTTGTACGAATATAATATGGATTCTTTTCACCATTTAGTCACAATTCATTATTTTACTAATGACATGAACTCTATTAAATGAATTTTTCCATTTGTAGAGAGACAAGAGAAACAGCACTGACTTTGTATCGGAAATGTCGCCCACAGGCTGTGCACTGATATGGCCTCTCATTTGTGTGAATCCTTCTATGAACAATGTAGCCAACACGTTGCCGGAAGCGCTTTCCACAATCTTCACATGAATAAGGCTTCTCCCCTGGATAAAAAAAAAAAGAGCTTCAGCCTTCTCTTGAAGCCAATCCTCTGGAGCATACTGAATAAATTTAAAAATCTGAGGAGGTCATTAGCTCGTGCTTGTTCATGGACTTCTATGTGGATATAGAGGAAAGATCTTGGAGTTTCCATAGCATACATAAGACAAGGAATCACAGGCTCACTATAGTTTATATGAGAAATGAAAACAAGTGAGACTTCCCTGTGACATCCCTTTTGAATATCATAAACAGGGGAAGCAAAACAGGAAGGAAGGAATGTCAAAAGACTTCCAAGCAAGCCCCTACCTATGCACACATGCTCCTATTCCCAGATGAAACATAATTCTTGAAAAACTTACATATGAACTTCAATGCACAGCTCAGATGATCCTTACCTGTATGTATTCGCTTATGGTTGTGAAGGGTTGAGATCTCCCGAAAGGCCTTAGGACACTGGTCGCACCTATGTGGTCGCTCCTCAGAATGATAGAGACGGTGCTTGTGGTATGACTGCTGGAAGGTGAAGCCCCGACTGCAGATCTCACAACGGTATGGGGTCTCACCTATGAAATGACATCAGGCAATGTCAGGATTCATAATAAAAGAAAAAATGAACACTGCTTTGAACCTTCTTGATTTCTGCATCTCTCTCTCTCTCTCTGTTTAATTTAGTAATGACTTTTTCACACCTGTGTGGTATTTATCATGGTCACATTGCTCACTTTCATCTCATAATATGGTTTATATGATCTATTCTTTTGGTGTAGGTTAGTGAATCATGCATAGAGCACATGAGGCAACCTGTATGAAGGCGAAGGTGGTTGCGAAGGAAGTTGCGACTGGTGAATTTCTTTTTACATGTGGAGCATGGCCAGACAACCTTTGCACCCTGACTGCTGCATGGGTGTGCCTCATCTCCAACCCATATTGCATTGCAGAGACTGCAAACAGGGTTTCCATCCATGCTCCCAAGATTCTCACTGCAAAAAAAGTTTGGCATGTCACAAGGCAAAGCATATGACAAGAATATAGAGGCCAGCAAGAACACTAACTCACCTGTTGGAGGTTGTAGCCTCTGGAGACGGGTAGTTTGGCTGTATGGCTGAAGATGCAGCCTTAAGAAATGGCAAATTCAAATGAGCACTTGTATATCATTCATAAACACTACATCATATCTCAATAACAATCCAAGTACAAAAAAAGAACAAAGTACTATGGAAAACAATACTTACCAGTCAAAAGGCATCCAAAAAGATGTCAAAGAGTTGCCAGTAATCCATACAGTTATCACACCAGGAAAGGGTCATGCCTACTGAGATGAAAAAGGGGGAACACAAATGATGCTATTAAGCACAAGTTGTTGGATAAAACTGGTAATATACAAATCAAGCCTTATAACTCTACTGAAACAAGCTTGAATTAAGCACATACCAGGACACTGTTTCAGCCTGGAGGTAAACATCAACAACCTGGTTAATATTAATATGGGGTTAATAATCAGCAACATGATACTGGAATTAATTAGTAAAAACATACCACTTATAAGGGAAATGCATACTGGATGTGCTCACTTTCCCTAGACAATAACTACCCATCAGGCATTCACTCAGATCACTTTCTTGAAGTGACTTCTTCATTCTCTTACTTCATTGATGCTGTTGCCCTTATTTTCTTGGAGTCTTGCATGAACCTCTGTTGCATTTCTCTGTCGATGGAAGACCCGAAGATGGACCATGAGAGTCCCTTTGTTCCTGAATTTTCTGGGGCAGTGATGGCAGAAATATGCTCCTCCGTGTGAGTCCTATCAAGAGGAGGATCCTATGTTAAATCAACTGCAATTCATTGATACCAAGCAGGGTTATAAGAACTTGATGCTACATGCAATCCCTTAACCATTTCTGGTCCTTTTTTTTTGGCCACTATGACCAATGGCCCACCCAGCGGGACAAAGAGCTGGAAAAGGTCAAGTTCTGAGAAACTATTTGAGTTTGAGACCATCAACTTACAGCCAGATGCTGTCGGAACTGATCTAGGCATTCGAAGTCCTTGTCGCATGCACACCTCCAAGGAGGGGAGCAGTGGATAACCATGTGGTGGAAATGCTGATGAATGGCTCTTCCCATGCCTTGTCCAGGCTCAAATTTTGGGCAGCACCTGTTCCCTAATCCATATATGTTCGCCATTGATGCACCAGACTAGGCCGAGCACCACATCAAGTTTCTTCAACTGCTTCTGGGCAAAGGACATCATGATCACCATCTGTGAAGTCACTAATTACTTATCAGTACTGTATATCTTAGGCCTAGATTGCTACCACACCACAATCTCCTCATTCCTCAGTAGGCCAAGCTTAAGTTTGCAGCTGCACTTACGACATGTATCTGGTGCTCACTGACACTCTCTTCATGTTGGGCCAATATAATGGCAACTTTCACTGGCACCACATATCAATATAAAAATTCCTTCCCAATCTACTCATTCTTGACTTCTCCATTCCTGGTCCTTCCCTATACTGGGTAAGAGATTTCTGCTGATCTTGGCCAGAGAATGCCTATTACAAGGTCCAACTGATTAAAAAACAAGAGGTCAATCCTTAATTATGAAGCCTATTTGATTTATTCATGTTAGGCCTACTCTACAAGGGCATATCCAACTTCCTGACATCACTAATCAAAGTGCCCGATGGAATCAGGCTTTTATTTGCAATATAAACAATATCTAGGCCTATTCCTGCACGCAAAGCCAGTCAGCCTACGTTTAACTAGCCTGGATGGCCTAATGTTAGGTTTTAATTAACCCCTACGTGATCGTCCCCCAAGAACATTTGCTGACCACTTGTAACACTACCCTTTGAAGATACAAGATAAAAGCGGGAGGCGGCAGAAAGAAGTACCGTCACTTTTTCCCTCAAAACGGTGGTAGACTGAATAACCTCTTCACAGAGAAGGAATGTAGCGACTTTGCGCAAGTTTTTCCTTCCAAATAAATATATACACGTGCATACAAATAAATACGAGTAGGACAGAAATCATTAAAAAGGAGGCTCTTCCGACCCGAAAGCAAATAATGTCCCCATCCCACCTGAAATCATTGCTTGAACGAAAAAAGAACCTTACTAGACTGCTACATACTGTTGTATCACAAGGAGTATACTAGAGTGTACTGGACCCTCACCCAAGGTCTCACCAAGAACCGCACAGGATCACATGTCCTGCAACGCGCCATGCTTCTCGTAACACAAATGAGCTGCTAAACTTTTAGGTCCTGTGACGTAACTGTAGTTAGCGCCTTGCTAGGTAGGCAGATGGCAGGCTTGTCACCACCACTGTGACCACGTGGTCACAGCATGGTATCGTGCTCTCGTCCTGCGGAAAATTCGTGTTCAAGTTCAATTCACCGACGGTCACATAACCATCTGGTAAATTGAAGGGCTGGAAGGAAAATTGGTTCATCAGCAAAGATGTTTAATTTTCTTTATTCACGCTCCTAAGGGGAATAATGAATATTCTAGAGACCGATTTTTTTTTAAGCGAAGAAAAGTGGTATGCCAATGTTTTACGTAATTCCACAAAAGATCAACTTCAAAGAAAGGAGAAAGATTCATGCGCCAACGATCAGTTTCTCGGATTTTTTGCAGATAAGCCAGTTTTCATTTCAGCCCTTTAATTCCCCAACTGGTAAACCGATCTACCGACGGCATAGCGAATTGGTCAGAGATCACCATTTTGGAGAGGGAGAGTAAATTTAGGATTGCCTCATCCTCTTTCCGTGCGTGGCCTCTCGTCACCAATCGTCAATCCGAAAGTTTATAAGTTCACAAGACAATAAAACGGGGGTTTTAAATTCCGGGGTCTGTTCTTTCTGATTGTCCCGACAGATCGAAGGTCACATGCCGCCCTGAATCCATTCATCTTCTGTGCGCGGATGTTTACGCTTTCACTTGACAATGTATATTCCATGCAGCACGATTTGCGAGGCGGGGAATCCATATGAGACAGACCCAGTGCATGAAAACTATAATTCTTACACGTGGACGGAATTGCGTCGGGGGGGGGGCTGCACTATTGTCTCGCTTACTTTCGCTTTCGTTTCTGTGCATTGTCAGGATGAAGGAGAGCAAGGCGTGTCCTCGCGTTTCTTAAATAATGATTGCACTTGGGGTTGCCACCTTCGAATTTAACAAAATATGGACAAATATTCAAATATATACCCACAGCCACCTTAAGCCAAGGCGCCAATCGACACTGAGTGTGGCCTACTGCTTTTGACTTAGGGAATATAACGATATTAGCTGCTATTAAGCTTTATTAAGTAAAAAAATGTCTTAACAAGTTTAAAATACGGACAAAACAGTGTCCATATTAGGACCAGTTTGCAGTATGGACATTGGATCAGGTATATGTACTGTCCATACTAATTATGAACGGGTGGAAACCCTAATTGCACTTGCTCTGTTAGTAACGTTAAGGTGACTGTAAACCGAGGACAACTACATTGAGACATAAGAGAAATTGACATTTATGCTCATTTGGAAGACGAATACACGCAGCACTTCTTTCGAAATAGTCGAACAAAGGCGCTTGCTGTTTGCATGAAATCGTGTTTCTTCTCGACTGTTTCCGGATCGAGTTGGAAGAGTTTCTTCATCTAAAAGGAATCGTCGGTTACCTGGAGAGATGCAATGACTTGGAAGAATTTTTCAGATAGAACAAAAATTTCCCGGAAGAATGTTTGCAGAAAGAATTTTACCTTTTTTCCGACCTTTTCGCATGAAACCGACGCCGAGTTTCCCATCGTTGCTTCAACCCGACCGAGTTGAGTTGGAGGCTAACGTCGACTGGCCTGAATATCTACTCAAATCCTGAGGTGATGAGTAGGGCAACGGTGAAGATGAGTTTGGTTTCGTGCTCAAGGTTCAAGGGTTCAAGGGTTGATAAGTGGCGTCGAGAGGCCCCCCATTCGGACGTCCCGGGTCGAAGTCGAACGTACATTATCATAAGATAGGCCTACTCCTCTTGGAGATAAATATTTTTGTGGGAGCATTGCCACCTACCGTCTCGTCGCTAACGCCTATGCTGCTCCCTCGTTTTGCCAATGTAGGCATGAAGCCTCTTAATGTTAGTCATGGGGCACGGCACATCATCGCTTAACGCATTCCACGCTTTCAAGTACAAGTAAAGACATTCTGTGGCAATCTACGCCTCATCTGGGGTTCTAGCAACTTAAGTTGGTTCCCTCTCGTTCTTCTGCTGCCATCGAACTGGAAAAACCTACCACGCTCTAAGCTATCATAATACTGTATTTGTCTGTAATCTTAAATGTCTGGATGAGGTCCCCCCTCGCTAACCTTCTCTCGCAAGTACCTGCTTACCAAGTAGGGGGGAGGGAACAGTGGCGTAGACAGGGTTTCGCCAATGGGGGGGCTTACTTCTCCTCGCCCGGTGGGGGGGGTGACGGATGCATTTAGACCGGAGTTGGGGGGGGGGCTTGAACCTAACTTGGGAGGGCTGAAGTCCCCCTCGCTACGCCACTGGGAGGGAACCACACATTTCGTGAAACTTCTCTGCTGCATGCACTGCTTTCATTTCTCCGCTGAGAATGAGCCTATGCCTGCCCTCCTATTGTGTTGGACTGATCTTACTTGTCAAGCTGTAACGATGACGTCATGGAGAGAGAAAAAATCTGATTGGTGCCAAGCAGCCCTGTTCGGTGATCTGATTGAAGAGACACCTCGTGTGTTGTGGGGCGTCTAATCAGACGCGTACAGAGCGTGTGGAGCTCGCCTCCTCCACCAATGATGGACGTTATAAATATTCCTGGATTTCGTCACACTGGTGTTCCCTGCTGCAAGCTGTGAGCATGTGACATGAACCGTTACTAGAGTACTGGATGTGTCGATTTTAACCCCGCCTTTTTTCACAAAAGGGTTAGGATTCGTGTTGGAACTTGACTGAGTAAAGTAAACCGAGCTACCAGCATGCGTCATACCGGATATATATCAATAGTAAAATTGTTTTGTTTTTTTTTATTACCCCAGAAATGCTATTTGCGTCGGTTTTGCCACCCTCTGGACTGAGGGTGGCAAACGGGAAAAAATCGCAAAATCGCCAAAATGGGCATTTTGCCAGTGGGCGGCAAAATGGGCAAAACGAAAAAAATTTCCGAAATTGTGCTTCTTTTAAATAAATTTTTATTGAAAGGCTATTTTGACTGTGGCGCCCGGGGCGACCGCCCCACTTGCCCCCCCCCCCCCCCCCCCCCCCCCCCCCCCCCCCCC